CTCTTGGGCTGTATTATTCATACGCTGTCCAACTGACCTGCCTTAAAATACCTCTGAGGGCTAATCTCTGCTGGCAGAGAAAGTCCAAAACAGGAACTGGTTTAGTAAAGGAAAAACCTGGATTCCTATCCAGCTTGTGTCACTGACTAGCTACATGACGTCTCCCACTGTTACCCATCAATGGGGAAGGTACCTGCCCCACTTCAAAGGGAAGAGACAATCAAACGCTTTAATGCCAAATTGGCTGGCTGGTAAAAACTGCTTAAGCAGTTTTAAACTATATTGACAGAGACTTTCTCTCATATTTTCTTATTTCCTGACTTCCTCTCAAGTCCAAGCACTTGATAGAGTATTCTGCACAATGACATTTAGCAAATATCCATTTAGTACACATTAAATAAATACTAGACTCTGAATAAGCAATACCAATAAGTTAGGGTTCCGGTGGGCTTTTTATTGTCTAGTCATTGCAACACAAATAGGACAATTAAATATGGTTTCAACTGTGGCTTCAAAAGCCTAATTCAAATAGTCATGAATGAAAAGGATAAAAGGGTAATTATAAATTATGGTTTGCCTAACTCAGTCCAACAAATGCTGAATGACAATGCTGTATAAAACACTGTAACGGGCATTAAAGCAAAAATAAATGAGTTGCTCTTACAGAACTTTTATTATAGTGGAGAAGCAGTCAACAAATAACCCCAGCAGTTGGAGGCTTCCCTGGAAGCTCAGTGGTAAAGAATCTGCCTGCTCATGCAGGAGATATGGGTTAGATTCCTGACTTTGGAAGATCTTGTGGAGAAAGAAATGGCAACCCACTCCAGTATTCTTGGGCTTTCCAAGTGGTGCTAGTGGTAAAGAAGCTGCCTGCCAATGCAGTAGGCATAAAAGACAGAGTTTGATCCCTGGGTCAGGAAAATCCCCTGGAAAAGGGAATGGCAACCCCCTCCAGTATTCTTGCCTGGAGAATTCCAGGGACAGAGGAGCCTATCAGACTACAGTCACAGGGTCTCAGAGAGTCACGCAAGTCAAGTCAAGACTCAGCAACTAAACCACAAAGGCAAAATGTGGTGAAACTACGGAAGCATTAGAGATAAAAAGCAATTCTGATTAAGGATGTGGATAACAAGGTTCCCTGGGGGAAGTATTAACCTAACTGAAGCCTTAGAAGGACTACAGGCCATTCCAGAGAAAAGAGCAGGAGCAAAAGTAGAACTGAAAGCAAGGGCTTCCAAAGGGAGAGGACATGTGTGTGCCTGTGGCTGATTCACGTTGGGCTTTGACAGAAAACAGCAAAACTCTGTAAAGCAATCATCCCCCAATAAATAAATAATGAATTTTTTTTAAAAGTATAACTGAAAGCAGTTCCACAGATGTGTGGTGTATATTTGGGTGTGCAGAAGCAGGACAACAGTAGAAAAATAAACAGTCTGGGGCCACATCTTGGGGGTAGAGAACTATGCAGTGTGCTGAAATACCTGATTAGTAGTCTGGGAGATGGAGACGCATCCAAGGTTTCCCAAAAGAAGAGTGACCCAGTCAGAACCAAGCTGAAGAAGACCTCTCTGAGGACAGTGCAGAGAAAGAAACTATTTTAACTAGCCAAGGAAGAAGCCCCAGGGCAGTAAACAGCAAAACTGAAGAGGACAGGGATCGGCAGCTAAAGTCAAGGGTATGTATGCAGTAAAGAAATTTAAACTGTCATTTTTCCCACCAACCACGGTTACTTGTTGCTCTCTCTAGTAGACCTGTCCTTTAAGAGGAAATAGGAGAATCAGCTTTAACAAACATCCAGATTACTTTCTCAACCCACCACAATTTCAGATGAGTTTTTAGCAGTGATTTGTCATGTCAGCCTAGTAAAGCTTACTCTAGAGTTCTAATTCATCTTCATTTGTAAAACAAACTTTTAAAATATGATATATAGAGCAGCAATCACTATTTTTGCCTTCCACAACCAAAATAATTTAGGCTAAGATAAAATACTTGCAACGCAGGGCAGCCACAATACTTAGACAAATTAGAGCTCTCCAGAGAAGCTAAACAGGGAATTGTTTTCTCTTATCAAGCAGAGGAGAGAGCAGTGAAGATCTATACTATGGGGCCAACATGCATTTCCATTTCCTTTCGGGTCAAGTACCTCTGAAACCATTCTGTAGCCATTTCCAAGTAGCCCCTGTCCTGGTTAAAGGTGTAAATTTGTGTTCTCCAGGCGTGCCTTAGTCAAGTCTTCTTAAACCAGAACAACGGCTAGGACAGAGCAATCCCTATCTAGTTCTGGCTCCACCACTAAATACATGACCTGAACTCATTATTTTCTTCATCCATCAGTGATGAGATGAAGTGCTGGACTCCAGGACTTCTGAGGTTTCTGCTAGCTCTAAAACTCATTTTCTGTTGATGCCCTTGGACCCTTTGCCTTCTCCCAAATTCCTCTAACAAGCCCACAGCAAATACCCAGGAAGTAGAATGTCAACCTTGCTTCCAGAGACCACTGTACTAAAATGTTGAGGCTTGAGACTCCCAAAGGAGGTCTAATCTGTTAATGGGGACCATTCTTTAAACAAAAACAACCCCCCCTCCCCAGGCAAAACAAAAATTCAAAGTCCTCGGAAGAAAGATGCTAGGGACTGGAATATAGAATCATGACATAATCGCCTCAAACTGACTACAACACAAAAATTCTCAAAGTCCAATGCTCCTTGGGACTTTTTTAGTAACAAAAAAATTATAAAATGACAATGACAAACTATTTGTCAATGCCCAAAAGGTACAACATGCTCTAAAAACTGCATGAGGGACTTTCCTGGCAGTCCAGTGGTTAAGACTCCACATGCTGCCAATGCAGGGAGTGCATGCCTGATCTCTACTGAGGGAACTAAAATGCCACAGGCCGCTCAACACAGCCGAAGATTTAAAACGGTGTGAAAGCAGACCCTCATTTGGGAGTATCTTCTTCCTGAGAAGCAGGGAGGAGAGCGTTCCCTTCAGAGCCCCTTACGAGTTCCTACAGGACACATTACCAAAGTAACACTCACAGGCAGGCTGATACCCTGAGAACGGGGATCACTGAGAGACACAAAAGCAAGAAGCGAGTCACTTCACCTGTTAGGGACCCACCTTCTACCTCTGTACTAACTAAGTTATTTAGCTGATTACCAAGGTCACTTTGTTTCTAAAACGCTACGCTCATATGTCAGTCTGTCTCCCTAGCCCTAGGAGGGCCGGATCTCAGGTCCAACCATACGCCACGGTGGCTCAGACGGTAAAGAATCTGCCTTCAACGCAGGAGACCCGGGTTCGATCCCTGGGTTGGGAAAACCCCGGGAGAACGCAATGCTAACCCAGTCCAGTATTCTTGCCTGGAGAGTTCCACGGACAGAGGAGCCTGGTGGGCTCCAGTCCATGGAGTCGCAAAGAGCCGGACAGGAGTGAGCGACTAAGACAGACAGATAGACACACACACACACACACACACACACACGCCAGGCATTGTGCTGGGAGCGCTGGGAATACAGCCATCATCAACAAAAAAGAAGGCGCGCGACACGAATGTGCTGGGGGCGGGGGGGGGGGGGTGCTGGTTCTAATGTAACAGTTACACTTCCTAAAAGAACTGGCATCCTGGTTTGGCTTTGGCTTAATATGGAAAAAATTTCAAAACTGAAAAAAGGCATTCAACCAGGGGCAAATTCAACATAAACTTCTGAGCCCTAAAGCAGGCAGATTTCCTAACCCTGGGAGCTACGGACGAGATTAACTAATCAATAAAAGAAGTTCCACAGCGCCAGCTGCCGCGTCTGGGCCCCACGCGCCCAAGCAGTCCAGACCTGGAGGGAAGCGTGTAAAACCAAAATGGAGGAGGGGCTCCGGCGGAGTCAGATCCGGAGCGAAAACCTCGTGGCTCCCCTCTCATGGCGCCAACCAGCCTTCCTACTCCGCTCTCCCCAACCCCAGGAGGCATCATCTCGCCTCGCCAGACCCGGCGCGCAGCACCCACGCCTCGCAGGCTCCCCTTGAGCCCGTGCGCCGAATCAACTTGGAGATTGTTAAACAGTAGGGGAACAAGTCGCCACATCTTAAAGGAAGGGGAGCAGAGAGAGAAACATCTGTGAGGACTCCACCCTTCTCCACCTGCAGAAAGAGCCGGGGGTAAAGCTAGGAACGCAGATCCCTAGCTTTGCTGGAAAAAAAAAAACAAAGAAAGCAGGCTGCTAGAGGGTCAGACACCCAGAGGATGACCACTTTCCGCGGATCCAAGACGCCTACGGCCCCAGACATCTTAAGAGCACGGGGCCAGTATAACTTTCTCATTGAGGCTGACCCCGTTTCCTCTTAAAACCAGAGAGGGAGAGAGAGAGAAAAGCCTCGGCTATGATCATTACATTGATGTCACCTCGCTTATCTGGCTCTCAGGATTTTTCCCGGAAACCCCTGCAATCCCCGGCCCCGGCATCCAGTCCAAGCGGGGCTCCTCTTCTTCCCCTGGACGCCGCCTCGTGCTTGCTCGCAGCCGTCCCAGTAGGGCTACGCGGCTCGCTCCGCCCTTGGCACCCGGGCTGCGCCGCTGAGCGAGCGCATCAGCGCCAGGACTGGGGAAGACGGGTGTACCGGGGGTTCGTAGAGGACCCTGCTTAAAGCCCTGGCCCCACGTCTGACTTGCAAAACAATAAGCATCCGTTTTCTCTGCCCCTCCCCCACAGGACCCCGGCCACGAGTCACGGCCGCCCGGGGAGCGTGCCAGCCCTGCGATCGGTAGCCGGGGTACCTCTGGAACCTCGGGTGGCCCGCGTCCTCGCCCACCCGTCCCCCGCCGCGGCGCCCGTAGTCCGCGCAGGGAGGACTTGGCACTGGAGCGCTGCCAGGAGCGGAGGCGCGCGGGCCACGCGGTGGCTGCAGCAACTGACACGGCCCGCGGCCGCCGGCCACATGAGCCGCCGCGGGGCCGGGACCCAGGAGGGGGAGAGAGGAGGGGGCCCCCCGAGGCCCCGCCGTACCTTGCCGCTGGCCGTGCCCCCGCTGACGCCGATCAGGAAGGGCTCGCCGCCGTTGGGCTGCTGGTGGTTCTGCAGGGTCTGCTCGCTGTCCCCGGCCATGGCTCGCGCGGCCCCTCCTCCCGCTGCCTGTGCGAACCGACGCACGCTCCCCGCCCGCGCCGGGCTCCCTCTGCTTCCCGCAGCCGCCACTGGGCGCTGCCCAGGCCGAGGCTGCCGCCGCTCCCCGCGTACAGCTTGGAGCCCGGTGCTGCCTTTCCCTGAGGAGCGCAGAGCCTTCCTCTGCCCGCTGCGGCCGTCCCGGTTTACATCCCAGGCAGAGGTCAGCGTGATGCTGCTGCTCCAATCCGGGCGGGCAGCGCACTGCTATTCGCCGAGGCGGCGGCGGCGAGGCGTCTGGCCCCCGCCTCCGCCCTTCCCGGGCCCCGCCGCCACCGCCCGAGGGCTCTGGGAAAGGTGTGAGCCCGACCCTCCTCCCTACCCACCCGGTTAACCCTATCAGCGACGACGGCATGCCGAGGACCACGGGAGAAGAAAGGAGCCTTCTGCATGTTTTAATTGGGTATGCCCCCAATTAACATTGAAATTTTAATAATTAAAATTATCCTATTTCAAAAAGGATAAAGAGCTAAAAGGGCAGATCAAATAATAGAGGGCATGCCTCAGGTTTGAGAAGCAAAATCAGAACAAGCTTGAAAGAGTAAGATGAAACAAAGAGTTAATATCATTTATCCATTATCCAGACTAAAAACTTGTGCTCCGAAAATGAAATTTTTTCCCCCTCCCGTTTGCCCAAATAATATTTCAGCCTCTGGCTTTAAATATTTCCTCTCTTGCAAATCTCCAAACACCATCCTCTAACTTAACAGGCGACTTTCTGGAGTCCTTCTTCCGAAAGAAAGGTAATTTGAGGGGGCTCTGAAGAACGCCCTCCCTCCCAACATCAACGCCCTAAGGATAGTTTGAAATCCCAAACACGGAGGTTCCTGTGGAGTTAAGCGTGGAAACGTTAAAACAATACATGTTGATTTATTAATACCTTTAAGTGAACTGGTTTAGGCGGGCAATTAGACACTTGGTTACAAAAGACAGTAGCTGCTGGTGACCAAGAGTGGAGCCACCTCTGGAACCAGATTTCTGTATTCGCTGCAGTTCCCTGGGTAAGTTACTCAAGCTCCCTTGCTCAACGTTCTCACCTGTTAAATGGGCATAGTGGCAATTACATGCTAGGCTTATTGTATTAAAATGAACTTTTATTTAAAGTATTAACAGAGTGCCTGACAGAAGCGCAAGGCTTTATATACAGGTGCTGTGAGAAAAGGCCCCGAAAGGGCTCAAGCGGGCACAGGAACCTTTGTTGAAGCACAGGAAGGAGAGGGAGGACTAGACTAGTCCCTTCCAACCTCTGCTCCTGTGGACCCAGGACTGGTACCGGTGAGCTTTAGGCCCTACCATCTGAAGGAGAACTTAAGTCTCTTGCATTCTCTTTCAAAACTTAGTAAATTATCTTAAATTCCGAATTACTTTGAAAAAATCACTGAAGAAAATGAAGAGTATTAGAAAAAACAGATAATCTTTTCACTTTTTAAATATTTCAGGTTACCACCCCCAACCAAACTCCACAGAAGCTCAGACAAGAAACTAAGCTGGGGAGAGCAGCTTCCTGGAACCCAGAGGCAGGCATTTGGGAGAGGTTAGTGAGGAAATGGCAACCCACTTCAGTATTCTTGCCTGGAAAATCCCATGGACAGAGGAGCCTGGTGGGCTACACTCCACGGGGTAGCAAAGAGTTGGACACGACTGAGCGACTTCACTTTCTTTCTTTTCTTTCAGTGAGAAGCCTTATCAGATTGCTGAGGGGTGGCTGGGTTTCAGGCTGATTCATAAGGTGGCTTCTTCTCCTACAAGTTTTTCCCCCAGTGAAAAGATAACGATCTTTTAGGGTTATGGCAGAGCTTTTCAGAGCCAATAAAAGGCCAACTGGAATTTGGAACTTCATGGACTCATAGCTAAGGGGATATTAGGTAATTGAGAGGAAGAAGAATAAAACAATGCCACATCCTCCATGAACTTTTCCCAAATTCCCATCTTCTTTATCATTCCAATAACTTTTTTCTACAACATTTTAATCATAAAAATTTTCAAACTTAATGTTGAAAGATTTTACAGTAAACACTGATATAGCCATCACCTAGATTCTGCTGTTAATATTGTATTATACTTTCTTTATCACATCTATACATTGTACCTTTTGTTTCCCTTTCTTAAACTGACTTACTACAAACTGGTTTACACATTTCTTGCTTTGTCTGTCTGTCTGTCTATTTTCTATCCCTAGCACCTAAAACAGTTTCTGACACATAGCCTTAGGGAGTAAAGAGACACCATATCTCATTTCTACATTCTTAAGGCCCACAGAACAGAATAACTGGAGGTAGGAGGCACTCACACAATACATGTTTGTTGAATATTAGATGAATGAATGAACAAATATGAAAGAGGTAAGAAAATGTGCTGTGCTGTGCTTAGTCGTTCAGTCGTGTCCAACTCTTTGTGACCCCATGGCCTGTGGCCTACCAGGCTCCTCTGTCCATGGGGATTCTCCAGGCGAGAATACTGGAGTGGATTGCCATGCCCTTCTCCAGGGGATCTTCCCAACCCAGGGATCGAACCGAGGTCTCCCACGTTGCAGGCGGGGCTACCAGCTGAGCTACCAGGGAAGCCCAAATATCAACAAGCAAATATCACTTCCACCATTTTGGAAGAAAATGTGGTTTTCCCTAGATTGCATTGATGTGGTTACTATTATTTCTGAATGTTTTGTTTTCCTGTCATTCCAAGTAACTGTCTACCTCTAATCCTAATATGTGTATCTGTTAACTAGTTGAACTAACTCATTAACTGAGCTAACTCATTACACTTATCTGCACCCTGTTTAATAATAATAATATTTGACATGAGTTAATATACATAAAAGTGCTCTGAAAAAACAAAAGCTATCTATAAAGGCTTTTATAAAGCTATCTATCGAGCTGCTCTCTGCACTCCCTGTTTTCACTTTGCTGTTTTCTTTTTTTCTATTTGTCCCTAGGGCAGGCTCACCTACACGGAAGGAAGTACCCCTGTCCATTTAAAAATATTCTCAGCACTGGTGACCTCAGCAAGGACGTCTGCATCCTTGCTTTCTATAAAGCAAGGCAGGCTGTCTGTGCTATTCCCCATGCTGTATCATCCCCTCTTGGGAGCCTGGTCACCAAACCCCACAGCCTAGGATGTTCAAACCACGTTTGAGCCTCCTGCAGCAATTACACTGCAGATTCTGAATTAAGTGATTTCCAGATGCCCTCCTTCCCCTCCCACTAAGAAGAAAAAAAAAAAGTCAAATGTTTTCAATAAAATCCAGAGCTAGAACAGATGCACAGGAATACATTTTCTTGGTATCTGTGAGAATTTTCTTATGCGTACAGAGATTTCAGTCTGATCAAGTTCTGGCCTAGTTAACATTTGGGAATAAAGTCAGCATGAGTGTGCAACTACAGCTATAGCCAAAGAAGAAAAGAACTTGCTCCTGACAGTCCTCTGCCTCCCTTCTGTCCATAAAGTAGCTACAGTTCTGAGCTAGACAAGCAACCTTACATTTTGCCTCCAATTGACAAATGCTACCACCAGGTGCTTCACACACCGTAGCTAATTCTCTAATTGCTTATCACATTTCCCAACCAGAAAAACATGTTCTCACACTTCAGTATGTCTTTAGCAGCATGTTGGTTCCCTGTTATGCCTTTCCATTTACCTCCTGTCTTTTACTAATCAGCAGTTACTTTGACAGGTCATAAGTTCTGTTCTGAGAAGGTGACCGGATGATATGAAAGCTCCTTCAACATCTGGCTCTGTGACCTTTGGTTCCATTCAGTCGCTCAGTCGTGTCTGACTCTTTGCGACCCTGTGGACTGCAGCACACTAGGCTTCCCTGTCCATCACCAACTCCGAGAGCTTGCTCAAACTCATGGCCATCAAGTCAGTGATGCCATCCAACCATCTCATGGTCTGTGATCTTAATCAGTCACATTCTCAGATGCTGTTAGGCAGCAGGACATAGCAGGCAAATCCATGGTCCCCTCCCCAGAAGCAGTAAACTTGAAACTTCGTGGGCCAGGCAATTTGTCTTTCATAAACTACACGTGACTCAAGTGCTTACCAAGTTTGAGCACCACTGACTTGGTGGAAAGAAGACAGTGTGAGGTCTAGTTAGAAAAGCACAGTTTACATCCTTGCTTTGTTACGTACTCACTGTATAACCTTTAGCAAGTTACTTTCTATAAACCTCAGTTTCTTTAACTGTTAAATGGTACCTGGCTCATAGGATGGTTGTAAAAAATAATAAAGATATTATCAGTATACATATAATGGTTGTTACATAGGTATCATTTCTCTTTCCCTCCTATTTCTGTCACAAGTCTGTAACTATTGCAAGAGTCACACCATTAGAGATTAGGAGTTCCAAAGGTAAGGACTTCTAATCCCTATGGACACTTTAAACTAAAATAAAAAAGATAATGTCCAACACAGGTAACTCTACACGTAGCACTTGCCTGCATTTAGAGAAGTCGGGGCTAAATGGAGAGTGGCGGGTAATGGGTCCAGTTTTAGAGCAAAGGAAATGTTCTGAAATTGTCTGGTGGTTGTGCAACTTTTGCATAAGAACCTTTAAATCATATAAGTTAGTGGATTATATGGTATGTAAGTTATATCTCAGTAGAGCAGTTTCAAAAAATAGGTCTCAACCTGCAGTCTATGAGGGGAAAGAGGTTTTTCAGAGTTGGTAACAGAAATGACAAAGGCACAGGGAAAAAAGAGACAGAACTAAAAAGACAATGTTAGGGGATTTTGTAACCTATAAAAGTGCCCAAATGCAAGTCATTAATTTTTTTATATTCAGTATACTGATTTTTGCACATACGCCCTTCCCCTTTCTCAGAAAGATAATAGTCATAAAAGGGCCCTTAAACTTTAGGTGCCCCAACTTCAGAAATCCCACATGCCCCCAGAACTTCCCAGACTTTGAAAAAGTTAACATACAGATTTTAGTCCTATAGCAATTT